CTGGCTCAGGCGAACGAAGATGTCCTCCTCTCCATGCTGGATGCTCGGCGAGTCATGAACGGGAAGACGATGCTCCGGGCAGGATTGCAGGTGGATGACGGGCAGGGGGGCGGAGGCGAGCAGCGCGATCGGAGTGGGGACGCGGGAGGAAGCAAGGGGAGCCCGACGGAGGTGGACACCGGCGAGAAGGGACGCGTGGGGTATGGTTGGTCGGTCGGCCCCTCAAAACGGGCCGTTCCGCTCGGACGCGTGGTGCGTTTTGCGACTCGCGCCGACCTCGATTCGGCTATCTCTGAGATGGAGCCACCCCTGCTGTGGCCCGACATGCCACGCTGTCACGCCAAGGACCTCAGGGTACCCCAGACATTCAAGGAGGCGAGAGAGAGCGTGCACAGCACCCAGTTTATGGACGAGACGAAGAGGGAGGTGTTCGAATTGCTAGAAGCAGATGCATTCAAGGTTTTAGGATCGTAGCAACCAATCGGTAATTGTATCAAGTCGAAATTTGTGTTTGATTGGAAGGTAGATGCGTTCGGCTTTCCTACGAAGGCCAAGGCCCGACTTGTTGCAAGAGGAGATATGCAGAAGGAATACATTGACTTTGGTGATTTGTATGCCCCCACTGTAGCTTCGTCTAGTGTCCGAATGTTGGCAGCTTTGGCGTGTGAGCTTGACTTGGAGTTGTGTCATTTCGATATCGATCAGGCATTTGTGAGGGCCCCTCTCAAGGAAGACATTTTCATGCGATTGCCGGAAGGATGTGGTGCGTTATCGGGGAAGATTGTGCAGTTGAACAAGAGTCTTTACGGTTTGAGGCAGGCATCTAGGGAGTGGTACGCGTTGCTGAAGAAGTGTCTTTTGGCTTTGGGTTTCGAGCAGTGCATGGCCGATTCGTGTGTTTTTAGTTTAGTCGAAAAGGGGGAAGTAGTGTTGATCCTAGCAGTACACGTAGACGACATTTTTGCAGTGGGGACGAAGGAGAGGTGTGATCAATTTGGAAAGGACCTGGGCGAGTACGTACCGGTGAAGTCTCTGGGGGAGTTGCAGTGGTACTCCGGTTGCTATTACGAGAGGGACAGAGAGGCAGCTAGATTGACGATTTCGCAGGAGACATACACTTAGGAGTTGGGAGAGAGATATGGTGTGGAGTGGGGCGGAGGCATTCCTTTGCCCACGACTTGGAGACTTTGGGACTTTGACGTGAATGAGCCGAGCGTGGAGTACCCATTTCGCGCGCTGATTGGTTCGTTGCTATGGATAGCTTTGTTGACTAGGCCGGATATCGCCAATGCAGTGAGGGCAGTGGCGAGGTACTGTAGTGAACCCAAGTTGATCCACTGGAAGGCTGCACTTAGCATTTTAGGGTATGCAGTTAGGACTAGTTCTTTCGGGATTTCTTTTCAGAGGGGGACGGTTTCAGGATTTTCTTTGATCACGTTCGCCGACGCGGACTACGCCTCGCGTGCGGCGGATCGCAGGTCGGTTTCAGGGGGAGTGGTAATGTGTGCAGGGGGAGCGATCGCATGGTTTTCCAAGACTCAGAAGTGTGTGACTTTGTCCACCACGCAGGCAGAGTACGTGGCGATGGCGGATATGGGGAAGGAAATTCTTTTTCTGAGGCAGGTTTGGCGCTTTATGTTGCCGAAGGAGTTGCGGCCGTGCATTCCACTGTACGAGGATAATGAGGGTGCTATCCAGATCGCAAAACACCCGATCTCGAATTCCAACTCGAAGCACATCGACGTGCGGCATCACTTCCTCAGACAACTGGTAGATGAGAAGGAGGTAGAGATCATTCAAGTAGCGTCGCAGTAGCAGCATGCTGACAGGGACTACGTGATAAACTTGAAGTGAGCAGTCCCGGAATTTTTTTTTTGTGTTTTTTGTATATGTGATTCTTTCGATTTGAGTTTCTTCTGAGGAGTTGATATTCTACGAGTTTGGATTCAAGATTGACCGATGGATTTTCTCTGAGTGTTTCTGGTTTAATGGTTGGGAGTAGTTTCGAACCGTTTGGAATTCTTATGAGTATTGTTTCTGGTTTAATGGTCATGGTGTTTTGGCAAAGACGAAGGATGAGAGGGATGGAATGCAGATCACTGATCTTTGATCTCAGGTATTTGGTATGAGAGGGTATGCATGTTTTAAGGTAGTTATTATATGAGTCCGGGTACAATCTTGCCAGTGCAGCGAGTAGGGGGGCTGTTGGATGTACTCACAGCGTGACAGATTATTTCGAGTAAGGACTTTCCGAACAGATGGAGCGGGGAGTTTGGGGGTTCAACAGTTGGTATGGATTAGATTTGGTGGTACCAACTTTATCACATATTGCAGGATTGAGGGTATGGGTGTCTACAGCCGAATTGTGTGCGTGGATTGTGGTTTCCCACTTCCTTTTTCCGTGTATAATCAAGTCCTTTTTCCGGCTCTCACGCCACCCACCGGCTTCCACGCCACTACTCCGGCTATCACGCCAACCCGGCTTCACGCATTCAGGACTTCCACGTCCCTACATATACCTTTACATCAGGGCTTCCACGCCACCTGGCTTCCACGTCACAACTACAATATACACGAGCTTCCACGCTCCACCACGTAGGAGGGCTTTCACGCCTGCGGATAGTTTCTACATTTTTCACCATTGGCAGTACCTAGCTGCTGGCACCTTTTACTTTCCGCCACGGGACCCCGCGCCGAGGCACCCACGCACAAAGCTACTCAACAGACACGTTATGGGGCATTGGTGTCGATGCCCTCGACCCGCATGCTGCGTCGCCTTTTAGGTTATGTGGTCAGAATCGCTGGGGCGAAGTTCTTGTTGGGCGCACACGCTCTTGCGTGTGCGCCAGGTCGGACCCGACAAGACTTTGCGACCGACGCACTAGGGGATACCTTCCCCCGCGTCAACAACCATTCATGATATTAATTAATTGTGCCACCGGGTGATGGATCGTTGGCGGATGATCCTTCATCCTCGGACGCATGTGGTCCGCTGGATTTCGCTTGCGAACACACCGGCGGACCGCTCACGCAGATGCTGCACATGGCGTCTCCCGCTTTTCACGCCACCACCGCTTCACCACCGTTGCTGGTGGAAAACGGCGCTGATGGACATGGAAACACCACCATTGTGGGTGGTGGATGATACACAAGTATGAATAGCTTTACTGTATTGATGCAGAACATTGTCTTGGGCGGGCTTACCGCTTCCACAGAGCTATGGAACCACTCTTCTTGATGCAGAGCATTGGCTTGGGTGGGCTCATCCCTTCCAAGGAGTATCTAATACGGTATTTCCGTCGTTATGGACCCAAAATGGCGATGCTAACGTCTGAGTCCGCTCCCCAATGTTGGTCTGGCGGAATATCGGGTCTTTCTGTGTGCTCCCGTACAATAGTTCAGTCTTAGTGGACCAGTGGTCGTCAGACCTCCTCCGGCTCTCCCTTCTGCGGAGCCAGACGTCTGTTTCTCGTCCACCGTTAGTACCACTGCGGCTGCCCATATATTCGTTTCACTCGAACAATATGTCCGGGAACTAACAGCTGTCGGAAAACGAGTGTGTTGCGGCATATACATTTTCGATGCATGGAATCCCCGACGGTTTTGCCTGAAACATATTCGAAGACTCCCCGGAAACGCGTGCCCATGTTGTTGTGGCCTTGGGTTCTGCGAGCATGCCACGCTACCACGTCTTTCCACCTGGACACCACTCGGACTTTACGTATGTTGGAGCGTTCTTTTCTTGTGGATTGGCATGCATGTGTCTGTCCGTTGGTGGCCTCGGCAATGTACAATTTGCCGAGCCCGCACGTAAGACTTCCAAGCAAACGTATCGATGGCCTACGCTCACTCTGACCCTCCCAAATGGGCCAGGTATTCAGTGAGCGCCGATTACTTTTAGATCGTTGCCGGTCACGTACTTGCCTTCCTGCTCTCTTCTCCGAACTCCTCGTCCGATCAGGCGAACATTTTGCGAATGGCAGGAACATCCGCATTTTCGCGGTTGACGTGACCGAAGCTGAGGACGTGCAAGACAAAGGCGGAGAGCGGCTGGCGAGCAAACTTCTTTGCGAACCGCTGTTTTCTGATGGGAAACGATGGGCCGGACTTCAGGCCACTTTCAACGCCTGTCTGTTGTTTCAAGTCGTCGATTCACGGGACGATTCAATATGTTTTTCATGCTTTGTTTGCTTTGCCGCCTTCAAATCATGGCGCTCGTTTCCCTCTCTACTGATAATTGGCGCTTTGTCTCGTTCATGGTACGCTTTGTTACGCTGACGCGTGTCTGAGTGGTGTGAGCTGGTTTTATCTTAGCGCCGAAAAAGGCGTTGTCATCTCCACATTTGTGACGGCCGGACCCGCCCGATCAGTTCTCGCTGGATCCTTGTCGTCTGCGTTGTGATACTCAGTAGTCATCACATGTGTGGTGTGGGGAAGGTTTGATGGTTTGAAGTAAATGTCGGGGATAACTATTTTCTCCGACACTAGTTGCTTATATATATTTTGTTGCTTCATGTGGAAAGTCGCATCTTCGATCTCTATATAAATCTGAGTATGGCTGAGAATAGAGTATCTGCATATACGACTTCCCAGGGTAGGCTAATGTAATGAAGCAACTAGTGAATGGGCGTTGTATGAGCATGACATCGTGACCACCTGGATAGATATTTTGTATTTTCGTTGGTTGCTGTGACTAAGATTATAGCCCCCGTCCTCACTCTCGACTTGTGAGCGCGGAACGCGGGCTAGGTGTGAAGCGGATAAAATATGAAATCCAACAACAACCGTGAGTGAGCCAGCAAGGAGCAGCGAACCTGCTCTCTTCCCTTTTTTCCTTGTTCCTCCATAACAAACGCCACCCGCGACGCCCCTCATGAGTATGCTGCTGTGTTGTTCACTCCTGTGAAACTCTACGCCGTACGAACGAATCCGAGAGGAAGGGGGGCATACGGACAGAAGCCGAAGTATTGCGTACCAACATACCTGTCATTGCAGTCAATGAAGTGAACCTTTTTCGTGCCGAACTTGAGCCTCAGCATGTGCTCCAGCAAGCCGTTCACCTTTGTCGTGTTCATTCATTTCAACGAAAATGTATCCCGGCCGCGATAGCTTTTGCGTGAGCGTCTCATGCATGACGTTGGAGGCAGAAACACCACGTGCATGTTGTTCTCACAACAGGAAAGCACGCGATGGCAAACTACGTGAATTCAACACCACAATAGAAATAGATGAAAGCGAAAGATGTACCGGTCCCGTGCAAACAAGCCAGAGATGAATACAAATAGAAAACATTGCCGGAGCGCTCTGTAGAAAGCAACCAGTGAATTACGAACAAGGATGCTTGAGAACGAACAAGCACCGTCTAAACAACAATTGCAGCAACTCGGGGTAAAATCATAGGGGGCTACACTTAGGGGATTGCTGTGACCTTAGCACATGATGTCTGCTTGATTCCACGGGATGTTGCCAAAGAGTCTCCGACAGGTCCAGCGGTAGTAAAGCTGGTGCGGGGGGTATCATCTGCCACAGGTTCCACTACACTCCCGTCCAGTTACACGAAGGAGGAGAATATGGGCCATACCTCATCGATCACCGGCCACGGGGTTGGGTTCTCCTTGTCGTTGGGGTCAGCTCTCGGGAATAGGGCCATCACGGACACCAGTGCGTCGGGCCTTTGCTCTCGCACGTACTGAGCGGAGCGAGACAGGCAGCCATCACATCGACGACACACGACGCAACATCTTGATGAACTGCAAGACACGCCACCAACGACAGACGCGACATCTTCCTTAGTTGGAACATCATACGCCGAAAATCATGCAACACCCAGTGTCGCGTCTTGCCGAGATGTCGGCCGTGACTCGGTTGGGTGACCGACGGAAAGACCTCCGTTAGAGGGCCGTCTCGTTGTGAAAAGTGATCCTATACGCAAAGAGCGTATACATAGACTACAGTTTATGCTCTCCTGCGTGAAAGTAATGCCATGCTCACGGGCGACTCTGCGCAAGTCAATCAAACTCTTGTCTTCGGCGGTCTCTTAACCCCTTGGGAAGGATTGGTGAAGCGGTGCTCTGCGGCCAACAGCAGCAGCTACAGCGTATGTGTGGTACAGGTGAGAAAAATCTCTACCGCCTTCTAGAATACATGTTTCCGTACCTTGACGACGGCCTTGACTCCTCCGACCGTGTCTTGCGCGTCCATGCCCTTCCCGAGGTTGTTGGTCCCGATGGCCACAAGAACAGACTTCAGGGTTCCGACAGACGACAGAGAGAAAAATACAGAAGACAGCGCACCATCAGCAGGGGATAGAAGCGCCGACCGGGGGGGGCGGAGGCAGCGAAGCACGCGCATACTACGAGCAACGGTCGATGGCGAGGCAATGGCACAAGGACAAGACGACGGTATCCGCCACAAGGCAGCGCTAAAAGTCTCCTCAGGAGTGAGGGAACGAGTAGGGAGATGCCTAAATCTGTCTGCCGACCAACGATGATGCACACGCTGCGATCCGCGCGAGCACGCCGATGGAACACGAGCGTCGTCATCCCGACTACAAGCCTGTCGGCCGTTACCCTGTAAAACGGGCACATACGGCTCGAGAACCAAACGAGAACCAACAACAACATACGGGCATACGATTTACGCTTGAACAACAGAAAAGCTTGATGTTTAGGATTTCAGGCCGAGCTGCTCGTTTGGGGGTGTACCTATAGCACAACCTCGGCCTGGAAACCGTGAACATGTGAAGCTGTTCATCCCGCCAGGGACAAAAAAAAAGGACAAAAAACAAGTGGGAAAGAGGATCCTTCATGGAACTGCACACATGTGTGCGGATCAAACTCGTGGCGCGAAACTAGGGCGAGGCACCGCGGGAAGATGAGGAATAGCACCGGCTCGAAGGTGTGCCGAAGTGAAAACCCTAGATATACTTTATATGAACGAAAGCGGTAACAAACAGCAGCGGCATGCGTATGGGGCGAGCACATCGGGAGTTCTAGATGCGCAACCATGGCAGGTGGGAGGGTGGTGGGAGCAGTACCTCGGGTTGCAGCACGTCGGGCAGCTCGCCGTTCTGCAGCCGCCAAAGAAGGTGTTGCGTCTGATCCCCGGACACGCCGAGGTTGATGGACCCCAAGTCGGCGTAATAACGCTGGGGAGACAAATGGATCAAGCAGCCGACACGCGCAACCATGAATCAGTTGGTGCAGACATGCCAACGGTGAAGATGTGGTCGACTACCTCCCACTACTGCTTTCTGATGCCGGGTGCTTGCCGGCGGCGGCAAGGAGACGAACGTTTGGCCACTTCAGGCAAGGAGCCGTCCAAGCTCGCAATGGGTAGGGCCATAATGTCGTGAAGTCCGGGCATATACTCACGAAGGTGGGCAGACCCGAGGGGGCATCGCGAGCCATAATCTAGAGGAGATTCAATCCTTGTCCAGCTGAGGCTGACGTCGTGGGCCAGCCAGGTCTATACCATGACTTTCGACAAAATACCATGCATATGCGTACAAAGCGACAGATTGGCCAACCCTTGCCTAGTCGCCGGCCGGTTGTAAAGCGCTGGTCGTCCAGTAGCGACGCCCACAGGCAGCACTGTGCACGCTATCACTCGTACTGTAGCATTTCGTAGCGGCTAGAGGAAATTTCACTCGTTCCTAATACGTGAGAGACTGCTACTGCCGCTGCCGCTGCTGCCGCTGTACTCACCATCCATACGGCGGGCGACCCCCAGTCTGGCCTGGTCTTTCCGCCCCGTGTACCGAGAAGTTCCTTCGAAAAAATGTACCAAAGGCAACCACGTGCGCAAAGAACGACACACGGACACGATTGAGAGGGAATGAGAGAGATTAAGAAGAGACACGCAACAGTGAACGACCGAAAAAAATGTCTCTCGGGCTGGCAAACCAATAGGCAAAGACGCGAGGGACCGCCCACTTGCAAAACTATACGTCAAAAACCGCAAGAGTTGGTAAACCAGACACACTCATCGTTTCCCTGGCCGCAACTCCTCCGCTGCAACAAGGTTCGCAACAGCAAGTAACGGTGACGCGAGGGTCGGAGCGATGTCAACGGTGCTCCGCCGGACAAGAGTTTTGTTGAGGTGGCAAGTGCGCTCTGCTCGGAAACAAAACAATCGAGCACCGACATCGTAGGGCGGGGGCCCTGGGTGGGCGCAGACGGGGAAATATGCAAAGGATGTGCAGAGAAAATGCCCACGGTTTCACAGCAACCTAACAACGCCCGGATGCCTACATACCATGAAACGTGGCAACGCGCGTAGGGTGGTGCGGGTGGTTAGCGCGTTCTTCCCGTACCATACACTTACGATAACCGTGTGCACTTGTGACTACATCCTTCGCAGGTCCTGCCCTTTGACCCCACCTCGGTGATGGAATCCCCTAGCACCAGCACGCGCGCCGTTGGCCCTTCCTCGCTGGTTTGAGCCTGAGAACGGCACAACAAATGATTTCGGGCTTCTGAGGCATCGAACACACCCACCCCGCAAAGACAAAAAATAAATCAGGAAATCTCGTAGAGTGAGCGTGAAAATCCCTCTCAAAACAATGAAAGACCCGTCTCGGTTTACGGTTGCTGAATTGCACGAGGTATAAAACTTCGGAGGAAGGCCAACTCTACGATCATCCTCACATCACCACCCGTGGCAGCGACACCAACGACATCGCCCACACCACAAACCAGCCATGCGAGGCGAGTGAGAGGGAATCACTCACCTTTAGCGCGGCATGCTGTCTCATCCAACTCCGCCGGCCGTCACGAGGTACGGGAACGGTGGCCCGATTCACCCTGATGAAAACATGCGCGAGGAGAGCAGATTTAGCGGAGGGAGGGCAAGCTACTCCGTGTCGACTTCGCGTTCTAAATCAAATTACCTCGAGTCAACATTGTCGACTCAGCGCCGCCTATCTATCGTGTGGATACATACCCTCTTCGTGGTCGGGGTAGACGCCAAGAGAGCCGATCGATACCTTGGGTTTTTTATACACAAGCATCGCTGTCATCCCTGTGCAATATGCAAAGGTACGGCGGGGGGGGGGGGG